ACACCTCTGAGCACTGCTACATTTTTAAGTGTAGACCAGGCCTCAAAGGGAACAGACATTATGGGGATGCTGCAGTTACCCCAGAATCATATGTTGTCATAATGCCTGTTTGCCTTGGTCTTGCATACCACACCCATCACCACAGTATCAGGGCTCCAACCATGCAAATCAATAGCAACAGTGAAGCCCTTAGGGGACTTTGAGGAGCCTCCTTTCAGGGTCAATGCTCTGGTTGGGGAGGTGTCCTAGGGTGAGCTGGCTCTTTAAGGAGGCTGGGGCTCAGCTGGGCCAAACCCGGCTCACCCTCCCAGGTGGAGGAGAGGTGCAGGCCTGTGGTCCAGGCAGACTGGAGAAGATCCCAAGGACAGCAGCTCTGGCCAGCCAGGGGTGGGTGGGAGCATAGGGAGAGGTTCTGAGATGGACACAGGGCAGTTTGGACTAAGGGGTCTGACAGCCCAGTTGTTAGGGCCCCGCATACTCTCAGCAGGGAGTGCACACAGATTCTCCGTAGGCTGCCGCCCTGTTAAGGGGCATGGACAGACTCTGATTACCCTGGAAGTGGTGGCTCTTTCAGACTTCTCCAGAGGGCTAGGTCACCACAATGACACTCTAGGGAAACTGAAGCAGTGTCCAATGTTGGCTATTACAGGACCTTGCTATCGGAGGGTTTGTGTGAGACCTGAGCATTACAAAGCCAGGAAATACAGAGTGAAGGTTAAACAAGAAAGAAACCCAGTGGCAACTAGGTCTGGAAACGCCCAGTTCAAGCCCCCTCTGGGCATACTAATCCCCTGCCTTCCTCTGGGGCCCTTCACCTGACGGATCCCTTCCTGGCAGCTCCCCGGACAGCCACAGCACTGGGGCTGGGGCCTCAGCGGAAGCAGCTTTGCCTGCTGACAGGCTGGTTTCTTAGCCCTGCCTGAGAGCGGGACACTAGAGATCTCTCTGTCTCAGTACTCACCTGGCTCTCCTGTCTTCTCTGCACCCGTCGTTGCAAGATCCTCTCACCACACCAAACCCTCTGGTCCAGAGCGGGACTGAGACTGAGACCCAGGGTAGGTTCAGTGACTGGCCCAGGGAATCGGTGGCTTAGCTGGGAACTGACCACTGATCTGTGCAACCCCAGGCCAGTTCCCTATCCCCATATCACCCTTCCTATCCTGACTGGGGAGAACACAGTGCAGGGAGAGGCTGAGCAGGGCCGGTGCAAGGAAGTTTCGCGCTCTAGGCGAAACTTCCACCTTGCGCTCCTCCCCCCCTCCCCCAGTCCTGCGGCAGCTCCCCGCCCTGCGGCACCCCCCCGCGGCAGCTCCTCCCCCTGCCCTAAGGCACCCCCCCACCCCAGGGAACCGTGCGGCAGCTCCCCACCCCAGCTCACCTCTGCTCCGCCTCCTCCCCGAGCACGCCGCCCCCGCTTTAATTCTCCTCCCCTCCCAAGTTTGTGGCGCCAAACAGCTGATTGGTGCCGCAAGCCTGGGAGGCAGGAGAAGTGGAGCAGTGACGGCGTGCTCAGGGAGGGGGCGTAGCAGAGGTGAGCTGGGGTGGGGAGCCCTGCGGCAGCTCCGCCCTCCGCCCTGAGGCACCCCTGCGGCAGCTCCCCACCCACCCCAGCCCGGGGAGCCGTGCGGCACCTCCCCACCCCAGTTCACCGCTGCTCCGCCTCCTCCCCAAGCATGCCGCTCCCATTCTAATTCTCCTCCCAGGCTTGTGGCGCCAAACAGCTGATTGGCACTGCAAGCCTGGGAGGCGGGAGAAGTGGAGCGGCGACTGTGCACTCGGGGAGGAACGCTGTAAAAAAAAAAAAAATTGGGGGCACCGCTTTTTGGCGCCCCCAAATATTGGCGCCCTAGGCAACCGCCTAGTTCACCTTAATGGTAGCACCGGCCCTGAGGATGAGATCTCCTCTCTGCTCTGCTCAGGGCTCCCCATGGGTGGGAGGGACTCTGCTCCGGTGGAGCACCTGAGCCGCAGCACAGGGTGAGGGCCATGTACCTTCCACTTCGCTCTGGCAAAGTTCTTCTCGATCTGAGCGCAGACACCATCTTTGATGTTCTTATCTGAGGCAGCGTTGCCAGAAATCCTGGAAGTGGAAACACACGTCAATGACCAGCTTCCTGCAGCTGCCCTCCTGGCACCATGCACCTGCACTCTGCTTCCACCCCTAAGCCAGGGGGCCCATGGGGTGCTCCACCCACCCAGCCTGCACCCAGCCCCTCCCCTGGCACCAGTAAGTGGAGCTGGGCTCTCATGTCCCTCCCAACTCCCACGATACTAGCCAGTGTCCCCTCTATCCCTCCAGGGTCCTCCTGCCAGGAGAAGGCCCCTTGCTTGGAGTTACCAGCGCTGCCTTACCACTCGTGGGAGATGGCTTCTTCAGCTGTGATCCTCTGGTCCTGGTCAACCTCCATCAGACGGGTCACCAGCTCCTTAGCTGCGGAGACAGCAAGTGGGAAGAAGGCGCTTAGCGCTCAGGCTGGCCATGCACCAGGGCATGGCCTGAAAGGGGATTGTGGCGGGTAGTGGACGCTCAAGCTTCCTGTTCTCATCCCCAGAGGAGCTGGGGCTGGCGTGGAATGGAGGGGAACGAAAGCCCCCCCACAGCTGGCTGCTCTGCTGGAGGAAGGGGTGACGTGGGGCTCTACTGACCGGTCGCCAGGAAAGGTCTGTGCAGGGCAGGGAGCATGCGCCCATCACGGCTGGTCACTGCTCTCGCCAGGGGCCAGGCTCGCACAGACTGCTCGGACAGCTCTTATCCAACTCCTCTCCCACAGGGCAGCCGGGATGAGGACTGGGCCTTCACTCCTGGAGCAGGCCCCGTCCCACCGTGCCCTGCCTCCCACACGCCCCCCAATCCAGGGACAGCACTCCCTGGACAGCCACCAACCCCCATAGGATTGGCTGAGAAGGGGGAGGGGATGGCGTCCACGTAGAACAGGACTGGCAGGGACGGGAAGAGGATGGGGTTAGGACCCTGTAGAACAGGGCTGGTGGGGACGAGGATGGGATTGGGGCCCCATAGAACAGGCCGGGCCGGGGGAGGGGAGGGGGGGAAAACGAGGACAGGGTTGGGATCCCATACAATAGGACTGGTGGAGGCGGAACGATGATGGGGCTGGGGTCATGACAACAGGAATGGCAGGGGTGGGACAAAGATGAGGTTGTGATCCTGTGGAACAGGACTGGCGGGAGTGGGATGAGGATGGGGTTGGGATCCCACAGAACAGGATTGGCGGGGGGAGGACGAGGATGGGGTTGGGGTCGTGTAGAACAGAACTGGTGGAGGTGGGATGAGGATGGGGTGGGGGTCCCACAGAACAGGACTGGCGGGGGCGAGACGAGGATGGGGTTGGGGTCCCTATGGAACAGGGCTGGCGGAGGTGGGATGAGGACAGGATTGGGGCCCCGTAGAACAGGGCTGGTGGTGGGGAAGAGGACGGGGTTGGGATCCCGTAGTACAGGACTGACAGGGGTGGGAGGAGGATGGGGTTGGGATCCCCATGGAACGGGCTTACGGGGATGGGACGAGGATGGGGTTGGGGCCCCGTAGAACAGGACTGGGGGGATAGGACGAGGACAGGGTTGGGGTCCTGTAGAACAGGAGTGGTGGAGGTGGGATGAGAACAGGGTTAGCTGGGATCCCACAGAACAGGACTGGCAGGGGTACCTTCCACTTCGCTCTGGCAAAGTTCTTCTCGATCTGAGCGCAGACACCATCTTTGATGTTCTTATCTGAGGCAGCGTTGCCAGAAATCCTGGAAGTGGAAACACACGTCAATGACCAGCTTCCTGCAGCTGCCCTCCTGGCACCATGCACCTGCACTCTGCTTCCA